GTGGGCGGCCGCCTCTGCTGCCGGGCGCGTGGGGCCCGAGGCTCCAGGCTGCTCCTGCCCAGGGCACTCCCCGCGCGGGTTCGCGCTCGCTCTGGCTGTCGGCACTCTGCCCTGGCACGGCACTTTCCCGACAGGCCTCCACAAATGGTGCCCGGGGCTTGCTGTCCTGTCCTGGTGGGGTCCAGCCTGTGGTCCCCAGCTCAGGAAGCTGTCCTTGCCCTGGAGACCTCGCTCCCCTGGTGCTGCAGAGCCTCTGACCCCGAGGACACTGCGGGGCGCCACCGCCGGGCGAGGCTGATGCCTGCGGGCGTGCCGCTGTGTCGTGTCCCTCAGCCCCGTCGGCCTCGGAGCTGTGGGCTGCCCTGGGGGTGAGGGCGCTGCTGCCCGGGGCCATGGGTCCCTGCACGCTGGTTAGTGAGAGGCGCTTGGCTGTTGCGTGACCAGGAGGACGTACCTGTGGGGCCGGCTCCGGGCAGCAGGCCTGCGGGGCGGGGCTGGGGGCTGCGGGGCTCTGGGGCGTGGCCCGAGGCGTCCCGGCAGAAGGCCGCTCTGGCTGCTCCCGGAGCTGCTCCTGACGTCTCCTCCGTTCGCAGGCTGTGGCGGTGCCTCAGGGCGGCGGGCAGCTGTGGGTCTTCGGAGGGGAGTTTGCGTCTCCCGATGGAGAGCAGTTTTATCACTACAAGGACCTGTGGGTGCTGCACCTGGCCACGAAGACCTGGGAGCAAGTCAGGTGAGGCAGTGCGCTGTCTGCCCAGTGTTCTGTGTGGGACCGGCCAGTGTCCGGCACAGCGGCGGGCCTGTGGGGCCGGGCCGGCCTGCGCCCTCCGACGTGGGGTGCGCTTGTGCTCCGGGCCTGCCGCTTGGGGTGACAGGCCCACTCCTACCCCACGCCCGCCGGTGCCTCCCGCCTGCCTCCCGCCTGTCCCTAGGACACAGCTGTGAGCAGCTGGCCTGGAGCTCGGTCTAGATGTAGCTGCCATGGCGGCTGGGCCTGCGGGGGCCCGGGGCCCTCGCCCCTGCAGGGTGTGGGCGCGGCTGCATCCCTCCAGGCCTCATCCCCACGGATGCCCATACTGGTCAGAGCAGGACCATCGCTGTGCTGCACCCCACTGCCCGGGCAGCCCGCGCCTGGGGACAGTGCCTCTGGCTGTGGGTGGTGCTGCACAGAGGCGGGCGGCTGTCACGCTGGCGGTTGACCCAGAGGCCTGCGCAGGCGGTGAGAGGGGTGCGGACCAGAGAGGCCCCCTGCTTTTGCGCAGAGCGGCGGTGTCCGGCCTGTCCTGCTCGGAGCGGGCCCCAGGGAGGCCCCGTCATGTTTCCAGGCGAGCCACCCCAGGTCTGTGCTGCTCTGACTCGCTCATTGGGTCACCTCGATGCCCTGCGGTCTGGCTGCTGTTCCGTCTCTTACCCGTTTTGCCCGTGTGTGCAGGGTGCTCAGGCGGATCTGTGACTCGGCAGCTGTGGCCTGTCGTGCGCCCCGCTGACGTGTGACACCTGCTGTGGGGTCCGGAGGGTCCCTGGCCCCTCTGCCCGGTGGCGGCTCTGTCCGCCCTGGAGGCGCCGCGGAGGGCAGACCGCTCTGCCGACCCCGGCGCCCCCAGGCCTCCGGCGTTTGCTGTCCTGGCGAGCCGCCGTGCGGCGAGTGGGGACAGCGGGTCATCCTCAGACGCGCGGAGGCCTCTGACCTAGGATCCTCGGGGCTCTGGAGGGCGTGAGGCGGCCCCCGGCCGGCGACACACCCAGGGCTGGGCGAGTCCTCCTCCTGGGCGCGCTGGACCGCCCTCACCACCCATGTCCACGCAGCTCGGAGAGGCCCCGCCC